GATCAAGGCCCTTGTTCTTCTGTGACGAGTACAGCCTGTCCTGCTTACCTTAGGGCCCCGAAACTTCTTTCCTTGCTTACCCATGGGAGGGAATTGCTTGCGCTCGTGGATGAGGGGGCAGCACTGATGGGGGGGTTTGCCCTCATTTGGGATATGGGGTTGCTTGCCCGGATGTTCCTTTGTCCTGGCGTCCCGTCATGCAGACTTACCGCATCTTTGTGGCCACATGTCTGTTCACTGCGCTCTGAGGACTGCAACGTAGTAGCAGTCTCGGATGGAGTTATCCATAGCAGAATTTCTAGAGAAGCAGGTCGCTTCTGAGTTGAGCCCCTACAGCTCAAGCTTCCAACTCTGCAAACATGAGCCTCCCATAGCCTCTCCCAATCCTCTAAACCCCAAGCTGCTAGACCCTTAAGCTATCCTAAGCCCTGAGCTTAAACCTCTAAATTACTTAAGCCCCAATTTAGTTCTTCACCCAAGGACTCTCCTACCCCCCCAACCCAAAACTGAAACCAAGTCTTAGGAAATTCCTAATTCCCCACCCCGCCCCCACCTCCCCCCTTAGGCAGTGGTAATATTATGTCCAAGCTACACCCTAAGGGGAGCAACGCTGCGAAGCGCTCTCAAATCTCGCCGCGGTACGTCACATTGCAGTCGACGAGTCTGCACCGCCGTGGCGGGCTCAGCTTGTGGTTGCATAGGCGGGCTACCCACAAAACACCTGATTAGTAGTTTATAAGGAATGAAAAACTGGAATGACATCATCATCATCATCATCGTCATATAATGCGGGGAGCCCCATTTTGCGGTGCTGCCTCCCCAACTTAGCTGGCAAATCTGTGCACTTCAAACCCAAAGGGGACCTTCATTTTAGAGAGCCATTTGGCCTGGGACCCCCGGCTTTAAATGTAAAATCGGGGTCCCCAGGGTAGAGGCGGAATGTAGAGGGGTATAGCCCAGTTGAGAAGCGATACACGACGTCTTTGCAAGCAAGCCTCGGCACGTAGCATCATGAGCCACCGCATCAATTTGACCGGGGGATGTCCAAGGGGAAGGGGCCACGATTAAACTCCGACCATGCATCATTTCGCAGTCGCCCCGCTATCGTAGCAGTTCCCATGCAGGATTTCAGACCAGGCACTTGTTTCAAGATCTCGGCAGCAGAGCCGAGATTTCAGCGGCCCGTGGTTGACAGTGCTTTCGAAAGCTTAGCTGTAAGAACAGAGACAAGGCCTAGGATGCAAGCTTCTGGCCTTCAATCATGCTAGGTAACAGGTAACACTGGCGGAGAAGCAACCTGATCTGAGCAGGGCTTGTACGGGGGTTTATGGTGGTTTCATGTGTGTTCAGAGCAGGGTAACCCAACTTCCCACGAACCCAATCATCCCCGTCCCTCTCCAAACATTTCAGCCCTCACCCCCTCATAATAGCTGCTCCCAGTGCCCTACTTGTAGCAGTAATCCTGCGAACATCAACTACTACGGGGTGGGGGATTATCCCAGACTTGAACGCACGGGTTGCAGCCAACTTGATGAGATCCAGCAAAGCGCATAGACGTGAATCCGCTGGGAAAGCAAGGAAACATTGGGGCTTGTAATTATGACTATTATCGAAGTGTAAGGATACCTTTCTTCGCTTCATCTCTCAGATGGCCACCTCACGCGACCTCTAGCATGGCTGCAATCAGTGTTGAAGAGGATGCGCGGTTTTTGGGCGCGTTTGTATGAGCCAGGGAAACCTTGTGTTTTTGCATTTCTTCAGATAGTACCGCGACGAGCGTGTCCATGTTCAGCTTGTGTGACAGGCAGATCGATTGATATTGGAAATTGATTCTTTGTGCTGATTAATCGTTTGGAATTTCATTTTCTTTACGGGGAATGCTAGAACCCCCAGGGAGC